TGCTCAGGGGCTCGTTCAGGGGGAGAAGCATCCGTGGAAACAGCCCATTCAGGCAGAGCCGGAACAGACTTAAATGGTGGCATCCTTTCAGCTGGCAGCCAGGAGCCTGAGCTTTGAATCAGCTTTATAATTTGAAAATTGGTCTCTTTGCATTGGGTGGTTATTTCGTGCTAGCAAAAGCCATCAGGGACACAATGCTGCCTGCCCTACCTTCATGGCACCACTCTGGGTTCAAAACATTGAGCCAGAGATGGAGATTTTCCACTCCTGGGAATCTTGGGTGGTTGTGCCACCCTGTTGCTGGTGACCCGGAGATACTCATAGAACATTTCACGTGCTCAGGAGCTGCATATGACTGGTGGCTAGGGCATTGGACAACCTAGGATTATAGAACATTTCTATTACTGTAAACATTGTATTGGGCAGTGTTGCTATAGACTGGCCTATACGTGCAGGTCAGGGTGAGATCCACCACACTGGGTGGGGAAAAGTACCTGGAGAAGCGGAGGCCCAGGCCCAGGGGTGAGCAGTCCCAAGAGGCCATACCTGTCACACCTGTGTGTGGCTCCGCGTTCCTGTGCAGGGCCCTAATCTTGTCATGGGACTGCAGCAATACTCAGAGCTGCCAGGACCAAAATAGTGTAGGTTGTTTTCTTGGCCTCTGGCTAGGGAGGTTGACATTCCGTTTTTCCCCAAGGGCTGGTTCATATGTGCTTTCTCCAGATGGTGTGCTCCAGAGAGGTCCTTGTGCTCTGGGAACGGTTTACAATATAAATACAGGCCCCCATGGAATTTTGGAAGGTCTCAGAAGGCAGCCCACCGGGATGTGGTTTTCAGAGCTGCCCTGGACTCTGCGCGGCCAGCCACCGTCCTGAAGCTTCCACCTTGTGCTCTGGGTGCAGGGATGCGCCCCACACACAGCTTTTCTGGGTGATGGGTGTGTTCTCAGGCTGAGGCTTCCTGTCCTCTTTCTAAGTGTGATCCTGAAATTCCTGGGACTCCTTGGTTTTGGGAACTGGCAGCCTGTATGAGATGTGGGGATTAAGGGCAATGCATGGGGGTGAGTACAAAGATTAGGGTCTGGCGACAGTCATTTCAGGGGAGGTGTGGGGCATGGAGGGCTTGCCATGAGTGAATTGGGGTCTGGGAATGCCAACAGTTAGGGACAGGGCAGCTTTTATGTATCTGAGGGAAAAGGAGACGTTAGTCTAGGAACTAAAGTTAGTCTATTAAATTTGCCAGGTGTGGTCGCTTATGCCTGTAATCCCAGCACTTTGAGAGGCTGAGGCAGGCGGATCACGAGGTCAAGAGATCGAGACCATCCTGGCCAACATGGTGAAACCCTGTCTCTACTAAAAATACAAAAATTAGCTGGGCATGATGGTGCATGCCTGTAGTCCCAGCTACTCAGGAGGCTGAGGCAGGAGAATTGCTTGAACCCAGGAGGCGGAGGTTGCAGTGAACTGAGATGGCACCACTGCACTCCAGCCTGGTGCCTGGCGCCTGGTGACGAAGTGAGACTCTGTCTTTAAAAAAAAAAAAAATTTGACAGTGCCAAGCAGAGAGTCTAGGAAGAAAACATTATATACCACAGATTGAATGGAGCAAAGTTAGACTTCCAGCCTTCCCTGGCAAGCCAAAGAGGCAGGAGCCGAGGCCGCTCTGGACTCAGTGGCTCCAATGTAGCAGGTGGAAATGGGCACTTTCCACTTTTGCCTAAGGGGCTCCCCAAGGTTACTGAGAGGCGGGTGGAATAGTGCACACTGTCACGTGGAGATCATAGTAAGCAGAAAGGATGTTCTTGGGGTCAGAAATGCAGCTGCTTGTATCTCGAGGCCTGGAGAAGCCCAGGAGGAGGTGTAGGCCCTGTTTGTCACCATGTACACGGGCACGTGCGTGCATGTGGACTGTGTGAGAGAGGACTGAGGAGGCAGGAGTGGAGTCTGGCAGCTCACCATGAGCCCTGTGCCTGCTGCAGCAGCCCTCCGTCACTGCACTCTGTGACCTTTAATGAGTCAGACACTCCTTTGTCTTCTTATGTGTTAAATGGAGACACGCATGCTTGCTGGGTGTTCAAGCCGTGCTTGTGTTTTGGGTGCCTTTATTAATTCAAATGCACTCTTTTCATCTTTTCCCTCTGGGTCTTATGAGAAACATTAAGGTCCTGGCCTCATTAGGGTCTTCGTCGCTTTAGGCTTGGGATCTACACAGTGAGGGCAGGGAGGATAGGGATGAGTTATGGGAGAGATGAGACGTCTCATTGTAGGGAGTGTCATGTCTTCTGTGAGCCTGATGTTCTGGTGAATGTAGTTTATCCCTGGGGCAGAGAACAGGAGGAAGGTGAAGGGAATATATGATGAGGTGAGCAGCAGTGTCACATTGAGAATGCGGCCATGAATTGGGCATGGCAGAGGCAATTTTCCAGGCCTTGAGGAGTAGAGGTGGGGCTGTAATGTGCAGGGGCCAGTTGGCGGTAGAGCAGGTGGCAACCGTTGTGGGTCAGGAGGCAGCTGACCAGCTAGTCCTCTTGGGATCATGCAGGGGTGGTGCCTACATGGCATGAGTGATACCATTCCCTGCCTTTTGTGTCCACAGTGGGCCACACTAATCTACCATCCCCAGAGTTCTTTAAGTATATCATTTTGGATTTTGATATCAATCAATTGGCATAAAAGTTGAAACTTACTGTCTGTCACCGGTGTGATGGAAAAGACATAGACTGGAATCCAGCAGAAATGACAGCCCAGCCAGGTCCAAGCTTTGGGCACTGACCAAGTGTATTAGATCGTTTTTTGGTTGCAAAGGACAGAGACTCAATTCACATTAGCTTCAGCTAAGTTATTTAAGTCACTTAAACATCACAGCGGGTGGGGGAAAATCACCTGGAGAAGGGGAGGCTCAGCCAGCCTTGCAGCACAGCCATAATGGAGGTCAGCCCCAAGAGGCCATACCTGTCTCACCTGCGTGTGGCTCACCTGCGTGTGGCTCAGGTAAGGGCTAACTTCAGGTGTGGCTGGAATCTAGTGAGGTTGCTGGGGCTCTGTCTCTGGGGCGGACTCTCTCTGGGTGAAAAAGTTCACATGGCTAAGCTGGGTCATGTGCTCTTAACAGGTTCCTGCGGGGATGGGATAGAGATGGGGGTGATAGGTTCTAGAAAGCAGGTTACATGGGGAGTAAAGTTATCTTGGAGGTCAACATAGAAGGATCAGCCCAAGGTAAGAGTTGGAGAGGCGGCTGGGAGAGGCGCCAAGTTCATCTGTGTCTTAGTCACAGGTGAGGAGGTGGGGGGATCAATAATGTTGAGCCAGCAACCTTAGGACACATGGCTTCCCTGGAAGGCCTTGTGCCCGTGGACCAGAAAAGGTCACTGTGGGCGGGCTTGGAGGTGATGTATATGCAGTTGGTCTGGCTGCTCTGGCCACAGTCTCCCAGGCAGCTGAAGTGACCTCAGATGCCAAGTTCACCACCCACAGTGGCACCCTCTTCTCTGTGGCTTTTCTTGATCCTGTGGTACCTGGCCAACTGACTAGCGGTACCAAGTCTCAAGGTCATGCATGTGTTCTGGGAGATTTAGGTTTGGATCAGGCTGAGCTGATCGCTTGGCAAACCTTACAGATTCTAGAGCGAGGCATCCAGTCTAACAGGCCAAAGAGCGTCTGCCAAGCATATGTGCTGTCTTAGGGACCGTCTAAAAGCTTCGTTGCCTTGACACCAGAGCAGTGCAGCTGTCCCTGTGCAGGTGGGCGCCCTGGGCTGCGCGGGTTCCAATCAGGTTTCTTTCCTGACATTGTCCCTCTCCCCTACCCCGCCAACCCCTACCACTCATAGCTCCCTTTCCCAGATGGCAAATGCTGTCTAATGAATCACCCCAAAACAAAGTGGCTCACAACAGCAGACACCTTGTTATTGCTCAGTCTCTGTGGGTCAGGAATTCAGGAAGTTCTTGTGTGGGTCAGGAATTCAAAAAGTTATTGATTTGGGCAGTCCTGACGTGGGGTCTCTCCTGGAGGTGGCAGTGAGATGGTGACTGGGGTGGCCAGGAGCTGGCAAGGACTCTCTCTTGCCACAGAGCTTCTCTGTTGAGGCTAGTCTGGGCCTCCTCACAGCATGGCAGCTTAGGGCTGATGGCTGCCTTGTGTCGGGGCTGGCTTCCTCCAGGGCAACCATGCCAAGACAGTCAGGGGGATGCAATATTGCCTTTTTTGTTGATTTTTAACCTATCCTTGGAAGTCACATGGTGTCACTTTTGCTGTACTTTATTGGTAAAACAGTCACCAAAGGCCGACCTCATTTCAAGAGGAGGGGGCCTAGATCTTTCTCAATGAAAGGGATGTCAGATGTGAAGGGATTTGTTGACATGATTTAAAACCATCAGAGCTCCCCTATCCCCTCCTGGTCAACCAAAACTTAAAGCCCAGATGGCTTTGAGGTAGCTGGATGTGACCTTACTCTAGTCCAGCCTCCTCATTTTATTATATGTATTTTTGTTTATTGAAACTCAGGTACAGACAGTTGAGTGAATCACACTCTAGTTCATTGTACCTTTTTCATCATTGCTTCATGCAGTGACCTCTCATATTCACTCACTCATTCATTTATGCTTCCTCCTTACCCCCACATCTTATTCTCATTTTCCTCCTCACCTTCCTTAAACAGTCATTCTATTTAATGAATATCCTTTCGTTTGCATGTGTTCTTGTAAATATGTATTAGAGGTCCATATGTGCTGATATGCACGGATCTCACCTCTTGCCCACTTAAGGTGAGGCAGAGACTAGAAGGGAATGACGTGCTCAAGGTCACCCAGCGAACCAGGACTGGGCCAATCCTGGCCCTCTTCCCTCGGCATCTTACACTCATGTTTCCATGTGACACCTCCTAACCAGTGCAGTAGCTTGAAATAAAGCTTTGAAAAATTGTGAATCTGGGGTCCAGAGAGTGTCGGAAGTGCTCCTGTTTTCTGTCTAGTAATTGTTGTGTTGTTTTCTCTTTTGCCACAGGTTCCAACTATGGGAGCCCACGCCCCGCCCATGCCAACATGAATGCCAATGCAGCGGCGGGGCTGGCCCCTGAGCACATCCCCACCCCGGGGGCTGCCCTGTCCTGGCAGGCAGCCATCGACGCAGCCCGGCAGGCTAAGTTGATGGGCAGCGCTGGCAACGCCACCATCTCCACGGTCAGCTCCACGCAGCGGAAGCGGCAGCAATATGGGAAACCCAAGAAGCAGGGCAGCACCACGGCCACACGCCCGCCCAGAGCCCTGCTCTGCCTGACCCTGAAGAACCCCATCCGAAGGGCCTGCATCAGCATTGTCGAATGGAAATATCCTTTGTGCTTTAGTCTGGGCATGCTCATGGGACCTAAGCCCTGGGGCCAGCCCTCCAAGGTTCCCTGGGCCACAGACTGTGTCAGCGGTGCTGGGTTACAAACCAGGCCTCGGGCCTACTGCATCTGTATCACTGGGGTGCTGTGAAATGCAGAGTTCTGGGCCCTGCCTTAGACTCGATGAATCAGAATCTCTGGGGACAGGGCCCAGCAATCTTTTTGTAAATAAGTTGCCTGCGTCGGATGTTTTTTCATATAATAAGCAACATTTGAGAAAATGAGCCTAAGAAGTTGTGAAATATCATCTCCTGTAGCTGATCTTGCTCAGGGGCCCACTCACACGTCGGGGTAACCGTCGTTAGTTAGGTGCTGCCTCCTTCCCTTCTTTCCCTCCTATGCCGTGGCGCTGCATGGTTTCATGGCCTTCCCTCTCTCTGGGGTGAAGGGGCTCAGGAGATGAAGAGTGTAGTGGTCAGGGCCCCAGATCTTGGCTCAAGGGCCCCGGAGGAGTGAGTGGTTCTCAGCCTTGGCTGCACGTTAGAGTCTCCTGGAAAGTTCTAACAAATGACAGACCACGCAGCTCCACCTAAGCATGAAAACAAACAGACAACAGCAGCAAACTCTCTGGGTAATTCTAATGTGCAGACAAAGTTGTGACCACTGTCTGGAGTGCTCACTTTGTCCGCATAGAAACCAGCAAACGGGCCCTGAGACAGTGGCTTTGAAGGGTTGGGCTCTCACTGTGTCGCTATAAGCCCCTTACCTCATCAGAATCCTGGGGCTGTAGAAACTGGAAGGACCTTTAAGCTCTGTAGATCCACCCTGACTTCCACCAGTGATGAAACAGCCCCATAGGAGAGGCTCTCCAGGGTCATGTGGTCAGGAACAGATGACGCTAGAACCCTGGTACTGACTGTGGGAATTTTTGTAATAAGAATTCAACCAGGCGGCCAGGCGCGGTGGCTCATGCCTGTAATCCCAGCACTTTGGGAGGTGGAGGCAGGCGGATCATGAGGTCAAAAGTTTGACAGCATCCTGGCCAACATGCTGAAACCCCGTCTCGACTAAAAATACAAAAATTAGCTGGGCATGGTGGCACATGCCTGTAATCCCAGCTACTCGGGAGGCTGAGGTAGGAGAATTGCTTGAATTGGGACCCAGGAAGTGGAGGTTGCAGTGAGCCAAGATGGCGCCACTGCACTCCAGCCTGGGCTACAGAGTAAGACTCCATCTCAAAAAAAAAAAAAAAAGAATTCATCCAGGCAGGACTGTCATGTCTTTCAAGGACCAAGATGGGAGCATTAGGCTTCATCAGTGAGTTTCCATGGAAAGATTTAAAAGTCTCAGGTACTGGTTGAAAGAAGGTAGCCTAGAGATAAAAGAAAGTTTCTGTTGAGCAAGAAATGTAGTTTTATAAATATATGAGGCCAGGTGCAGTGGCTCACACCTATAATCCCAGCACTTTGAGAGGCCAAGGAGACTGATGACCTGAGGTCAGGAGTTCGAGACTAGCCTGGCCAACATGGTGAAACCCTGTCTGTGCTAATAATACAAAAATTAGCCAGGCATGGTGGCACACACCTGCAATCTCGGCTACTCGGGAGGCTGAGGCAAAAGAGTTGCTTGAACTCAGGATGCAGAGGTTGTGGTGAGCCAAGATCATGCCACTGCACTCCAGCCTGGGCAACAGAGTGAAACTGTCTCAAAATAAATAAATACATAAATAAATGTTCGAGCCCCTCAACTTAAAAGTATTTTAAGAAAATGCAATTTGAAACAAGTGGCTGCGGCTGCCTGGCTGGCCTGCCTGAGTGGTCAAGCATGATTTCAGTCCCCGGGGGACTGGGTGGGAGGCTTGACTTTGGTCAGCTCCATAGGACTGCTTGCATAGCTGCTCGCAGTGGAGTCAGGGAGTGGGAGAGCTGAGGGCCCTGCAGGCCAGGCACTCCCAAGAGAAGGGCAGCAAGGCCCAGAGAAGCCAAAGGACTTGCTCCAAATCACTCAGTTGGTGATTGACAGAGCTGGGTTTCAAATTCAGGTTCCCCTGACCCCAAAGTAAATGCACTTCCCACACCCTATGCATCCATAGTACTAGGAAGGACTAGGCAGGTCCTAGGAGATACTAGGTAGGACCAGTTAGGCACTAGGGAGGGTGTTCAGGGGCTGCAGACCAGGTTCCCCGGGGCATGCCGAACCTGGACCTGGGCCTAGACACCTACTTCCTGGGTGCTGTGGCCACCCTTTTGGGGAAATGTGCCTTCCCACCTGGAGGAGAGGAAGGGGCCCAGCCTTAGTAGTGCCAGGTGGGTGGCATTCTAGGATTGCCTGGGAGGAGTGGCAGGACAGGGAAGGAGATAGCCTGGAGTACTAGCCAGCTAAGCTCTTCTTGAAAAAGTAGAACCTGACACTGTCATTAGGAAGGAAAAGCAGTTTAAAAAGTAATCTGGGCCTCAAAAGGTGACACAGAGCACTTTCCAGCGCTGACCTGGGCTCTCCGCCTTTCGGCCGGTGGCTTTTCTTATCTGCCTGGTTGCTTTTGCACATGATCTTCTGTGGCTTTAGCTCAGTGCCTTTAGCATAAAGGATGGCTAGATGATAGTCTGGATGAGGGGAGGGGAACTGATAGCACCAGAAACCCCAAGCTCAGCTGTCCCCTGCTGTGGTGGAAGGAGTGAGGTGACATTTTCTGGGTGGGTGTTCACAGGTCTGGCTTGCCCGGGTTGTTGCATCCTTGTCCCATTGGGGAGAGCACAGGCACAGCTGATGGGAATGAAACTGACCAGCCTGTGGGCTCAGTGTCACTTTCCTGAGCAGGCGAGAAAAGGTTTGGGAGGCAAGAGGTGACGCGGTAGGAGGGCTAAAAGAACTGCCTTACAAAGCCTTCAGGTAATTTTAAAGTGGATCAGTATAGAGTAGTCCTTAAAACTGAGACTACCTGAGCTTGGATCCCATCCTATCACTTGTTCTGTGACCTGGCACAAGTTAACATCTGACCCTTCTGTGCCTCAGTTTCCTCATTTAGAAAGTGGGGATCACAAGCATACATTCCACACAGGGCATTTCTGTAGGGTCGTAAGAATGTGCCTGGCACTGAGCAAGCTCTTGGCAGAGGTCAGCTTCTGTCCGTACTGTCACCGGTGCCGGCATCAGCGTCTGTCTCCCATCATCACCACTTGTGCCTCATCCAGCACAAGGGCAGCAGGATGTAAAAGCTTAATCAGTCAGTCTGGGTTCTGGTCCAGGCTTTGCTGTCTGCCAGCTTGGGGTCTTGGACAGGCTGCTTTACTTTTCACACCTGCAAAGTTGGGAGATTGACAGGTCCACTGTGTGCCATCTTTTTTATATCAAGGTAGCATAGAAAATGTTCTGCAGGAAAATGGATCCTCAGAAGTACCCACAGGGCCGAGGGGAACCAGTGCTGAAATAATCACTCGGGTTCCTCCCCGTTCAGTATGCTGTGACCCTGACTCAGGGTTGCCTGTGAACTCATCAGGAGGCTGTCTGTGGCAGGGGAGTGAACACTGGACTTGGTGATTGGGAAATCTGGGCTCTATTCTCAGCTGGTGATTAACCAGCTGTGGGGCCTTGGGAAAGTTTCTCAGGCTCTCTGGGCCACAGAAGGTTAGAGTAGATAATCTCTGTGGTCTCTTTCTGCCTCGATATTCATTAACTTTGTAAGTATGGATTTCCCTGAAAGAATTATGGTGGTCCCTTCACCCCGGCTCTCCATCCCTCTCTCTCTTCCTCTTCCTGTGAGACTCCACGAGCTGGGCTGCAGACTTGGCAATGGGAGCGGGGTAGGTGGGGTTGGAGCTGGAAGAGCATAGACGGCCCTTCCTGGGAAGCTTCTCCTTGCTGGCCTTCCATGGGGTGTGTGGGGTGGTCCCGTTGGAAGGGGTATTATCACATTAGCTCATTTCTCTCTTGAGAGCGTGTCCTGCTCTGAAAATGTGATGAAGAAGTCAGGGCATGGGAACCTCTGCCTGCACTGCTACTGGTGAGGGAACCTCAGGCTGTCCCACTAGAGCCCAGCACACACCAAGGAAAAAGTAGGCGGCCTTAGAATCAAAGCTTTGCCTGTTGAAGTGGGACCTCTGCAGACCAAAGGGGTTTCTGTGCTCTCCGTGAGACTCAGCCGTAAAGAGGACACAGCCTTCCTTCCCTACACTCAGGACAGACACCCTGCTATGTGCTTGGGGGTCTTCAGGATCTCTGGAACCTGTCAGAGAATGAGAGAGAAGAAATGAAAACCACTCTTAACTTCAGTTTAAGAGATTAAAAATAAAACCTCCAAATTTCAATGAAACCCTGGGAAAGTCTCTGTCTTGGAATCCTGTTTAACCCATGTCCCCTGTTGCAGGTGGGCGTGGGCCCATGGGCAGTTGGGCGTAAGCCGTGAAGGAACGGGGTACGTGGTGCAGGGTATGCTCTTTAGAGGCAACCCCAGGCACACATGGGGGAGACTGAAGACCAATGCAATCTAAATAAATAAAAGGAGGGGAAAAAGTTTTTAGAAATCTGTGTTTACTCTGGCACGCGACTGGTCTCCACTGCTTTTGACATATTAGGGAAAATTTTGGCGGGGACCCACTAGAAGCACTTAAAAAGGCATATGTTTCTTTTCAGAATACAAGGGGCTTGGAATGCATTGTTTAAACAAAATTCTTATGAATCTTTGATTCATTTTAAAAAATACATAGATGTATGTTTGTTTCACTTGTGCTTTCTGTGGCATTAATTTCCTTAACTCCCTTTCTCAGACCATTTGAAATAATTATTTTACTGACTATTTTTGCCAATTGTGTGGCCTTAGCGATCTATATTCCCTTTCCAGAAGATGATTCCAACGCCACCAATTCCAACCTGGTAAGTCCACCATCCTCAAGTCTCTGCTTTTTCACTCGATGGAGAGCTGCGTTTGGATCACATGGATTCATGGAATGTGGGAGAGAAGTGAGACGTGTGTTTGGCATGTGCAGAAGCCCTGGATAGCTCACATCCCGAGTGTTATTTTACTCTTTATTCAAAGCAGCACCTGTCTCAGCACAGCCTGTTTTCCAAAAGAATATTCCAGTTAGCTGGTGGTGAGCTCTCTCTCTCTCTCTGTGTGTGTGTGTGTGTGTGTGTGTGTGTGTGTGTGTGTGTGTTTAGTAGCAAATCCCATGAGTGCTACAAAATTTGCTGTAAGAGTTGTGAGTGCAGGCGTTTGCTTCAGTGAACAGCTATTCAAGGGTTGTGTGTTGTTTTTAGTTTGAATGCCTTTGTTCCATTGGTAGGGTCTGCTCAGGTGATCTGGAGCATTACTACACAATAAATAATTTCTAGGAAGCTTGTAGGAATGTTTGCCTTTGTAGCCAAGATGTATTATTGAGTTAAAAAGGATTTATTTTATTGGGAAAGGCGGCTTTCCGTTTGGATTGTTGAGGGGCCAGCTCTAGCAATTGGGGGTTAGAATTGGTCCATGGAAAAAGTGGAGTGTGTTTACTTTTGGCTGAGCTTGAAGTCATTACAAAGACTTTTGCTCCGTCTGGGCATGTGAGGAAAAGAGCTCTGGAATGCAGTTGGCAAAATTGGGGCACTCCAGGATGCCCCTGTGAAAGGCATGCAGGGAAAATCCTCTCTTTTTCCTGCTCCATTGCAGAGACACTGTTACTCTTCACGTGATTTCCACAATGACATGTTCGGTCATCAAAGCCACCATCTTTCCCATGCTGTCAGCACCTTCCTCTAATTAGTATGATGGGACCATCCGGTGAGATGGTTTTTAGAAGAAGCAGGCGGCATATAGGATTCTCCATTCCACAGCTGCCAGGCTGATACCATCACAGGGTAGTTTTTGTGTTTTGTAACCTTTGACATTTCCCTGGGCCCTCTCAGCAAAAAAAATCTGATGTATGTTTTCAACTTCTCTGCTGTTGCCCCGGTTTGTACAGGTATTGCTGATGCATAGCAGGTAAGGTGTTCACTGCCTGCGGGCTGTGGTATCTTGTGGCTTGGCTTGAGGCCTTTTGTTGGGGACGGGTTCCAAAAATTTTAAAGCTGGGCATAGCACTGAGTGATGACGTGGCTGGAGTCAGAGGGCAGAACATTGGCCGCCATCCATGAGGCCATCTGAGGCATGACCTTGTCTCTTAAGGGGCAAGAAATCTTTACTGTGTCAAAATAAATACAAGCCAAAGTGTCTCCCTGAAGCAGGAGCTCCTTCCCTTGGTTCCAGTTCTTCTCTGTGTAGCCACTTCCTCCCCCAGCCACGGTCCTCCCCACTTTCCCACAGTTTAACATTTAATCTGCAACTTTTAAAGAGGAGCCTTGGTTCCAGATAGAATCCATATCTTGTTCTTAAGCTGATGACACTTTGGGCTGCTCTAGGCCCAAGCAGTGGTGAAAGTGGGCAGAGGAGTTTGGTTTTTCTTAGATCCTAGAGATGGCCACATGTGGCCCCTTCGCCCCTCCGTTCCCAGGGGGATTAAGGGAGCCGCTTGCGTTGCTGAGCTAGAGGGAAGCCCTGGGCTGGCTGAGACCCCTCATCTCTGGACCTCCTGGAGGCAGAGGGGCTCGTAGGAAAGGACAAGAAGTCACCCTGGACTTACGCTGGAGCTGGAGTGAGATTGCTGGGTTCAGATGATATGCAGGGATGGCGGGTTTTTAATCACACCAGAGTGATGGAAGTATTCTAAAAGAGATGGTGGGGCTGCTTGCACAGCTGTGTAACTTTACTAAACATCATCAAATGGTGTACTTACAATGGGTGAATTTTATGGTATGGTAATGATACCTCAATAAAGCTGCAGGTGACTCCTCATTCTCTGCATTCCACAGTGTCACAGTTTCCCTGGGGCAGTGAATGCTGCCAACTGAAGGTGGGGACATCAGAAAAACCCCCTAAAACAGATGAATAAACATGACCTCACATCAGCTAATAAATCAGAACACGATTCTGCCCCATGGAGAAACACATCCCAAGTGCTGTGACCCAGCCTCCTGGTCTTTGCTCTCTGCAGCATTTTGAAGCTGCAGCATCTCTGCAGATGCCTCCTTTTCAAAACACATTCTCCTCTTGCTTCTTCCAGCTTCTCTTCCCGTGTCTACATGAATATTTACCAGGCTTCTGTCCTGAGCCCTCTAATTTTCTTCTTCTGCATTCTCCCCTTGGCGAGCTCATCTGTGTCCACAGATTTAAGTTCACTTTCTAGGTAAATTGTTCCTAAGACGGACATCTCCAGCGCTAAGCATTTCCAAAGGTCTGGCCCAGTGTTTCCCGCATTGGAGAGGCCTGTGGACCAGCGCAGCAACCCCCGAAGCCTGCACATCATTACAACCCCAGAAAACTCCAGCCATGCAGACTCCGGCACCCTGGTGGATCTGATTCACATTTAGTAGTTCTGGGGCATGGTCTGGGGATGTGCATTAAAAAAAAAATTCTCAGGCCGGGCGCGGTGGCTCACGCCTGTAATCCCAGCACTTTGGGAGGCCGAGGCGGGTGGATCACGAGGTCAAGAGATCGAGACCATCCTGGTCAAAATGGTGAAACCCCGTCTCTACTAAAAATACAAAAAATTAGCTGGGCATGGTGGCGCATGCCTGTAATCCCAACTACTCAGGAGGCTGAGGCAGGAGAATTGCCTGAACCCAGGAGGTGGAGGTTGCGGTGAGCCGAGATTGCGCCATTGCACTCCAGCCTGGGTAACAAGAGCGAAACTCCGACTCAAAAAAAAAAAAAAAATTCTCATAGGGCTGCCAGTGATTAGTCAGTTTCAGGACCAACAGGCCTTTTGGGTAGAGCAAAATTTGAGTTGGACAGACCTGATTTTAAATCTTGGCTTCTCTACTTTAAGATTAAGTCTGAATCTTAATCTGAGGTTACTTAGTATTTCCTAACCTCAGTTTCCCAGCTTGTAAAATGAAAGTGACCTCAGATGGTTCTATGGAAGAGTGGGGCTGGCAGTGACAGTTATATGTGACAGAATGTCTTGCCGTTACCTCAAACAAACAAGCCCCAAATGGAACTCATTCTCTCTCCCACCACACGACCCTGTCCCCCGGAAGAAAACAAAACAAAGCCCGGGCAAATGCTGCTCCTTCTCTTTCCTTGGCCGGGTCGATGGCCTTGCTGTCGCACACAGCTATTTCCAACATCTTCTTCCCCTTGCCATGACCATCTGTGCAGGAATCCAGTTCTGGAGATTGTGATTTGCAATGTATCACATTTAGCTTTCTTTCTAGTCTCAAAGTCATTTGTTTAGACTTCTTGTGCCTTAGTTTCTTTATTTATAAAATGGAAATAACAGTAACGACAGTACCTACCTCATAGGGTTGTTGTGAAAATTAAATGAGCCAAAATATTTATAAAGCCCTTGGGAGAGTGCCTTAGTAGAGGCTGAGTGTTGGGTCTTGTTAATAGTGCTGGGTGCTATTGTTTTGATTGTCATCTTTGTCATCCTTGTCACCCTAACCCAGGCCCTGTTGCCTTTTTCTGGGACTCTTGCAGTCACCTCCTTCCTGCTGTTCTCCCTCTAGTCTCTCCTTCCTCTGGTCTAGCTCACGTGTGTGCAGTCATTTGGCAAACATCTGTACCAACAGATAGTCACTATGATTAATAGGGAAGATAAACCTATAAACAGATGTTTCAAATAGGGAAAGGCCTTATAAGGGTATCAGGGTGGAAGAACCAATTCATTTTGCTGTAGGGAAAAGATTAATGGCAAGTTTCACATAGGTTGACATACTTGCATTGCATCTCTCAACAAGAGGATGCCATAAGAGATATGTGAGGCTGAATATAAACATGTGCAAAGGCCCTGTGGTCACATTCTTTAGGACCAGAGGAAGAGGTGCTGATTTTGAGGGAATGAGAAGAGCCAGGTGATGGGGGCTTGTTGGCTCATGCAAGCTCTTGGACTTAACTGCAGGTAAGGAGGAGGATCGCAGGCTTTAACGGCAGGGGAGTATTCTTGCAGCATGAGGAATATGGCTCAGATGGAGGCCTCATTGTTTGTGAAGAGAAAAAGAAACCTTGCCAGAGTCCAGATGATGGTGACATAAGGGTAGAGAGGGAGCAGTGGATTTAAGAGGCAAGCTTGTCTGGATGAGTGACCAGTTGGATATCTTGGGTGGAGGAGAGAACAGGCTCCCAGGATATGAGATGAGGAGCCAGGTGCCCTTGGCCAGGAGAAAGACTTCAGGAGGAAGGTCACATCTAAAGGGCAGGGAATGATGTGTGTGATTGGTGATTGTGAAGTGAGAAAACTGTGGAGCATGAGGATGGAGATGTCCCATGGGCAGTCGACAGAGGTCTGCAGCCCAGGAGACCATTCAGGCTGAGGATGGAGACTTCGGGGTACCAGGAGGAGAAACACAAGGAGAAGCTGTAAGCATGGCCCAGAGCACCTGCATCAGGGTGGAGCTTGAGGGTAGCAGTGACCCCAGCCGGACCCTGGAGAATAGTGACGTTTGCAGAGGGTGGAGGAAGAGGAGCAAAGGAAGGGTGTACACTACCTGTCAGGAAGGCTTAGCTTGAGGAGTAGGAGGGAAACCTGCTGAGGGTGGAGTCTTAGACGGTAAGGGAACAGGCAGTTTAAGATATCCAAGAGGGACTGGTTGGTAGTTCAAAAGCGTGGCTCATGGCAACTGAAGGCCAATGACAAGAGGGTTGGCCTGACTGAAAAGAGCTGAGCTTAGGGCCAAAAGTAGGAGGAGAAGATATTGATCTGTGCCAATACCCCTATGGAGGCCCTGAAACAGTAGGTGCATGACAATGGTTTGCTGAGGTTCAATGCTTGAAACATTCCCACTGTTGTGCCAGAGCAGAATGCCTCAAATCATTTATGTACCCCAAAAATGAAGCTTGAGAAATCCTCCATTAGTTT